CAATTATGGTAGATTCAATCTATGGAAAGTTATTCATCTATTAATGAGAATGAAATTGAGCTTGGCCAACCATCCTACAGGAATGGGCATGATGTTTTAACTTGTAATGACGCATAATCTCATTTTTATCAAAAAAAACTTGAAATTCCTCAAACTTCCTTGCACTTTCTTTTGGCTATCTTTGTACAGGTCTGTGCATGCATGGAAGCAAGGTCTACAGTCTGTTCACTCTGATTCCCTCAAGGAAACCAGCTTGCACGAGGTATGGGGGTAAAGTCATTAAGGTGGTGTTTTTTGTGTTTGGTTTTGGTTTTTTGAGAAGGGCGTCTTCCCTGTAGCTACAGCTAGCCTGGAACTCAATATGGAGACCATGCTGGCCTCTGTCTCACAGAGATCGGCCTGCCTCTGCCTCTGCCTCCTGCCTGCTGGGATCAAAGGCATGCAACAGCACGCTCAACTTTCATTGTTTTTAATCTTCATTTTGTATTATGTAATATTTGTTCTGGTAATTTTTTTATATTTTAAATTTTTATTTTTTACTTTAGGTGTATGAGTGTTTTGCCTACAGGTGTGTAAGTGTACCATGTAAGTAATGCCTGTAGAGGTCAAAAGGCAGTATTGGATCCCTTGGAACTGGCAACTGAACCTAGGTCCTCTAGAAGAGCAGCCAGTGCTCTTAACTGCTGAGCCATCCTTCACTCCCCTCCCAGTAACTTTTTTTAGAGGAGGTCTCATGCAAGTCAGGCTGGCCTCAAACTCCCTAAACTCCTGACCCTCCTGCCTCCACCTCCCCACTGCTTGGATATCAGGTGTGCCCCACCACATCCAAGTTTACATGCAGTCTGCAGTTGAAAATGCTAATAAAGTTAAGAGACACTTTTAAATTATTACTTATGTGTCTGATACATGTGTGTATGTGGCCCACGCTTGCCATGGCAAGCATTTGGAGGTCAGAGGACAACTTTTTGGAAGTTGGCTCTCCCCTTCCATCTTGAGGCAGGGTCCCTCGTGTGTGCTGTGCTGCATAGGCCAGGCTAGCTGGCCCAACCACCTAGCTCCACTTCCTATTTTTGCTGGAGGAGTGCTGGAATTACTGATGTGCACCATGGCATCCAGCCTTTTTTACATGGGTTCCAGGGATCAAACTCAAGTTATCAGGCTTGCATGGCAAGTGCTTTTACCCACTGAGCCATCTCCCTGGCCCAATAAATCATTTTTAAAGGCTAATCATGGGGCTCAGCAGTTAATAGCACATACTGCTCTTGCAGAGGACCTGAGTTCTATTCCCAGCACCCATTTCAGGTGGCTCACAACTGCCTATAACTCCAGTTTCAGGGGTATCCCACACCTCTAATCTCTGAGGGTACCTGCACTCACGTGCACATACCCATACACAGATGCACATACATACACACATAATTTAAAAAAAATAAAAATAGCGGGCATGGTGGCGCACACCTTTAATCCCAGCACTCGGGAGGTAGAGGCGGGTAGATCTCTATGAGTTCAAGGCCAGCCTGGTCTACATAGTGAGTTCTAGGCCAGCTGGTGGCTACAGGGAGACCCTGTCTCAAAAAGACCAAAAAATTTTAATAAATAAATAAATAAATAAAAATAAAGAATAATCATGCTCTAGATAATTAGGCTTAGGGGGCAAAGTTTTTTTTTTTCCTTTGTATCATTCTGTACTTTCCACATTCCACCCCCCCAAAAAAATGTGCATTCAATGTGTCTAAAGGCAATCAATAGATTTAGAAATAGACTTGATATTTGAAAACAAAAAACACTATCAACCAGACATGGTGGTTGGTGTACATCTATAATCTCAGCATTTGGGAGGCTGAGGCAACAGGATTGAGAGCTTGAGGCCTGCCTGAGTTACAGTGATTTCGAGGCCAGCTTGGGTTACATAGTGAGGCCACGAGGATATGGTTCAGTCGTAGAGTACTTGGTGACCAGGGACAAACTCAAGCCAGATGTGGTGTCCCATGCCTATAATCCCAGCACTTGGGAGGTAGAGGCAGGAGAACAAGGTGTTTAAATTCATCATACTCAGCTAGAGAGTTCAAGGCCAGCCTTGGGTACATGTGACTCTGAATCAAAAAAAAAGAAAAGACCATGAGTTTGAGGCCTCAAGTTTGATCCCCAGCACCTCAAAAAACAAACAAAATCATTGAACTTAGAATAGAATCAATGTTGTGGTTACAAATAAGATACTTATGTGGAATCTCTGGGTTCAATCCCCAATGCTACATAAAAGTGGGAGTGTGGTCAATGCCTATAATTTCAGCACTTAAGAGGTTGAGGCAGAGCTATAGTCACACCTCCTTCCCACTCTCACCAAGGAGTCGAGGGGAGAGTCAGTTACCCCTCCCACCCAATCAGTCGACCTTAGCTGCATGTGGGGGGAGGGGCAAAGGATATATAAGCTGAGAACACCAAGAGGCTCCTCTCTCACAATTTTGTGTGGCTGTCAGGAGGTCACAGGACCTGTATTTGTGTGTGGACTTCACGGTGCAGTCGTAAATGCAGGGTGCCCACTCTTTTGTAAATAAACCACTACCCTATGCAAATGTGGAGTGCCCACTCTTCTGTAAATAAACCACTACCCTATGCTCTGTTAAAAATCAAATTAAATTAAAAAAGAGGTTGAGGCAGGAGGATCAGAAGTTCATGGCCATCCTCAACTACATAATGAATGAGTTCTAGGCCAATCATGAGAGATGGGGAGAGAGGAGAGGGAGGTACTAGCCACATAGACCAGGCTGGCCTTGAATCCTCCTGCTTCAGTCTCTCAAGTGTCTGGACTATAGGTGTGTGCCACCATGCCCAGCTTATTTTTTTCCAATGTGTGTGGTGCTAGAGGTTCGAAGTCAAGACCTTGTCCATGTTAGCCCAAGGCTTTACTACTAGGCTATAATCCCAGCCTAAATTTGCTCTCTACAATTATTTTTCTGTTAGGAATGTGATACACACTCAGAAGGCAAAGGTGGCATGTTCTTTTTAAAAAATATTTATTCTTTTTATTTTATGCATGAGTGTTTTGCCTGCACCCATGTTGCACAATGCCCACAGAGACCAGAAGAGGGTGTCAAATCCCCTGGAACTGGAGTTACAAATGATTAGCCACCATGTGGGTGCTAGGATTTGTACAGCAGTGTTCTTAACGTCTGAATAATCTCTCCAGCCCCATGTTCTTAAATTTGAAGCCAATCTTGGGCCAGAGAGATGGCTTAGCTGGTAAAGGTGCTTGCTGCTAAGCCTATGACATGAATTTGAGCCACAGGACTCACATGGTGGAAGAGAACAGACTCCCGAGTTGTCCTCTGACGTCCACACTGGCATTGTTGCAAACATGCCCACACACAGACACATACACACACACACACACACACACACACACACACACACACACACACAAATGCAGTCCAATTAGATCTAAGATAAAACTTAGGCTATGTATTATAATGGTAAGGCCTGCTCTCAGAAACACAATGTTGCTTGAGACAAATAGGAACTAAACCCTCTGTGTCACACCCCCTCGCCAGGAAGCAGTAGAAATCAAGAGAAAAAGTGGACACCAAGTATATAAGGCTGAAGGGGAAAACCTTGCACTGGTGTGTGCTAATGCCAGAGGGCAACCTAAAATCGACCCAAAAGAGTAGTATAAGGGAACCTTTTCTCCATCGTTCCATGTCCCAGGAGAGTGGCTAGAGCATGATGCTTCTCTGGCAGGAGACCAGCCAGTCTTTGTGGATGATGGAGTGGAAGGCGGGCTCCAAGCCTTCAAATGATTGGCTATATCAGCCATGGCCTCCACTGGACAGACTGAAGTAGCCACACTTCGGCTTCTGAGTCTCACAATTCAGTATTACCAAACTAAGAAAGCCAACTTGTGGGGTCTTATGTATATTCCCAACATGATGAGAACTCAAGAGGGGAGTGCATATGTGACTACAAACTTCAAAACGTCCACAGATAATTTTGGAATGCCTGTGCTTATTTCCACGAATCTCAGGCAAAAGAGGGTCTGCATTTTTCACAAAAAGTTTTAAGATTTTACATTTGTGTGTCTGTGATTCTGTGCACGTGGGAGTGCAGAAGCTCACAGAGGCCAAGAAGGCGTCAGATTACAGGCAGCTGTGAACTGCCCCATGTGGGTGCTGGAAACCGAACTCTTGTCCTCTGGAAGAGCAGTGTGGCTCTTAACCACTAAAGCCATCTCTCCATCTCTTCTGGATTCTGCCTTTCAAGTCAAACACAGGCATGAAGCTGTCAGAAAATGGCTTCTCCCCAAAGCAAAGTAATTCACACAGGTCTGCTTCAGGGCTATGTAATCTTAGCCACAATGTTCAGCTGTTTCTGTGATAATTCACATAGATATATGCCATCTAGAATTCATATACAGGTTTCTGGTAGCAAGGTACCCCACTGCCCTTACAGTAACAGCAGGTCACTAGTGGCAAATCCTTTGTGTTCCCCAATACCAGCATGACAAGTAACATGGGAAGTAACTGAATAGCAAAAAAACAAGGAAAACAATCCTTGATTCTGACCTCAAACTTGATCGAATATTTCTATCAAAGGTCAGAAAATGATTTTAAAATCCAAGTAGGGCTAGGGAGATGGCTCAGTCAGTAAACTGCTTGCTGAGCAAGCAAGAGGAGTTTGATCCCCAGAATGCAAGTAAAAGTCAAGCAGGTGTATGTATGCCTGTGATCTTAGCACTGGGGAGGTAGAGTGAGGAGGATCCCTGGAGCTTGCTGGCCAGCCAGTCTAGTCAAAAACGCAAATAAATAGAGATGCAGTACATTAAGCATCAGTGGCTTCCTTGGTGTTAAGTGCTGAACTGAAGGAGTCACAATACTTGGCCTTCTAACAAGATGAGAATTTATTCTGTGATCCAAGTCTCATTTCAGTGTGTATGTGTGTGCTTGAGCACATGTGTGCACAAGTGTACATGTATGCCTTGTCTATAGCCAACACTCCACTAGGGTAACTTAAAACAAAATAGGAATTTATTTACAATAGCAAAGATGTCAAAAATAACAGGAACAATATATAACAAATCCAAGAATTATTTTATGAAAAAGTCAAACAATATATACATGAAACAAAAAAACAAAATCCATAGGGCAAACTTAATTTTGACCATCTCTAAAAACCTGTAGAATGCAGCCGAATGTCTTTTTAATATGAATTACTTTAGTAATTCCGAGTCAATTAAACACACACATACAATTTTCAGTCCTTTTGTTTTACTTGCCAAATCTTCCTCTGACCTCTATTCACCTTTGAGGAACGCAATGTTGGGAGGCTATATAAAGATTAGGAGGTACAAGCTATTTAGATACGCACTGAAGGATATACTTACTGACAGGCTCAAACTTTTATAAAAAGGATAAACCAAAAGTTCAAACTTTCTAGATTCTATTTGACTCTCACTATGCCATTTCTGGTTGCTTTTGTGTGTGATTTTCTTGTCTACTACACAAAAAGTTACACCAAGTAATCTTTTAGTGTCTCAAGTGCTCTATGAGAGTTTTCTCTCAACAGAATCACCTGGGGGCATGCCATCTCCCAATTCTCAGGGCCTGGAGGAGTGCTGAGAATCTGCATCATTAACAAAGTCCCAGGAGATTACCAGGCTACAGGCCTTACTTTGAAAACCATTGCTCTGAAAGACTGACTCTTAAGATTTTGACTGATCAAGCTTTTCCTTAAACAAATCTAAGATTCTGCAGAAAGGAAATAAAGAAAACTAATGCCAAAATCCCCATTAACAATAGGGCGGCATGTCTTCTCTGAATTGGAGGGCTCACAAAGTTTTTCAGCATGTTAGACGGTTTTGTCAGATGATTTACGGCACTGACAGTGATGCCCACCACATTCTCTTGGATATTTATAATCTCACCTATTAGGCCAACACTTGCTCCTACACTGCAGAATCTCATTTTTAAAATCAAAAGTGCTGCAAATCTCTCTTTTTAATCCTGACGACCTTTACCCAACTTGCAATTTTCACTGTAACAACGACCATCCTCCAGTATATCAGGGTCTACTAACTACAGCTCTCCAAACTGGGCACAAACAAGTAACTCAAAGGTAGGGCTTCTGCAAAGGAAGTAAGTGACAGTCTCCATGGACTAAATGTGTTATGAATTGATAATGAAATGAATTTTAAGTGCTCTCAAAACCCACTTTATGCATGGGTAATTTATCTTGGGAATTGGAGATGCTAATAAAACAAATCCTTTCCAAAGATAAAAGAAAAGGAATTTCAAGGACATGCTCATCAAAGGACTCACCAATCACCTCTTAAGCTTCTTATAATGTTACTTGCAAATTCACAGGACTGAAATACTATCAGTATTTGCATCCAAGTCACAAAATTCAAAGCAATCAAGCATTTTGCATTCCACTGCTGCATAAAAGGAATTAAGAAATAGGAGGATGAAAATAATCCACTGCTTTTGATGTTTATTAGGTTTACAAAAACTGTACATTTTTTTCTTAAGAAAAAGCATTAACTTAGTACTGGTATCAAATAGACTAAACATTCGTTAACAGGAAAATATTCTGATTTTTATTTTTGCACGTTATTCTCAAGTACACAATTACAATAATGTCACACATCCCTATATGATTTCCTTTTTATGTATTTTACTTTTTTTACAAAGTATACAGAGGGAGGGACATACAATATTTAATAGGATATTTCTACAGAACAATAACTTATATTATGTCCTTGTAAAAATCTGTACCTCTTTAAAACATTTAACTGAAACATCCATTTTTTTTAGCTTTGCTAATCAAAATTGTTTTAAGAATTAAAACTAGGTTGTAACTAATGTCAGTACATAACAGTCACTACAACTTCATTTTCTCTTTATACAGACACACACATTTTATATTCACTTGACCAAACCCTTAAACACCTTTTAAAGGCTTCAATATTGTGCTTTAAAAAGAAAAGAACTGTGTATGGTTCCAGATTATGAAAAAAGAGAAATATAAAGTGTGTAAAGTGTTGTGTTCTTTATCTTTCAGTTTATTTAAAAAAATAGTCAAGATTCAATAGTCCAATCGTTTACATTTTCTGTACTGATTGTAGGATTTTTAAATTTTATAAATTTCAAGTTTAAGTGTTTTGCATTATTTCCGGGGAAAATAATAAAGGTTTAAAAAGTTCTCACAAAAAAACAGACAGAGCTTTCAAGAATAGCAGGGTAATAAATCAAATCATAGTTATGATGGTTTTTAAAGCACATTGAGGAGGCTACAAGGACAAAAGAATTCCCTATCAGACAGGTCTAGGGAATCCACACCTTGCTTTTGACTGGCATTTAGGATGGAGTTCATACCAGCCTAAAGTTCTTGATTTAGAACTAGACTAAATCAACCTAGCACTTCAGAGGTTTGCCAAACACCAAATATTAAGATATTTAAACCCCAAAAATATAACTCTTGAATACAAATATTGATGGCAAAGAGAAAGATGAAAGGTAAAAACCTAACGGCACAAAAGGGATGGAGCACCATAATGAGGTGGCAAGGCAGCGATCGAGTGGGAAGAAAACTTCTGTATCTCCCAGGATGTGCCAGATCCGTGTGCCAAGAGACAATTCCAGGGACTCCAAAAACCGTTTTTTCCAAGAGTCATCTTAAAACACAATCCTAATTATGCAATTTCTTTTTTACAAACTTATCACTGATCAGATCTATATGCTACAAATTGCCAACTCTCAAAAAAAAAACAAAAAAAAAAAACTGAACAACTTGGTGAAGTTCCAAAGAAGACCCGAGCCTTTCCTTATGCACTTCGAACACACCTTTATCCTCTAATCCAAGACAACTTGAGTGTCAAGTTTTCAAAGTTTCTGTGAACTGTCTAAAAATAACAGACCGGGCTGAATTTGAAGTCTAAGTCATAATTAGCACTCGTTCTCTGGTCCATGGTGCCATCACTTTGTTTCTGCCCCCCTTGCTTGGTCAGACAAAAGTTCTCTCTCAGGCTTCTCAGAGAGAACTGGAGGGATTCGCCTATGAATACCCATTCACTTTTCAGAAAAATATAAAGGCATGGAATTGAAACTGTATGAAAACATTGTATCTATAAACATCTTAACTTCTATTTTTTCAATTACTTTTCAATTACCAAAGATATTTAAAAGAAAATACCTTTACTCTTTAAAAATACTAGTGTCCTTATTTTCCTTCTAATTCTTCACCTGAGTAGTCTCTCTGAAGAGCAAGACTTACAAAATGCTCTCTTTGCATCCCTGGATCTTTCACCTTACTGTAAATTTAATACTTTTCATTATAGATTTTAAACAATTACTACTGGGGTTTGTGTGTATAAGTATGTAAAATAAGCAATACACACAGATACATGTTACATATATATGTGTATATATATTTATATATAATTCAGGGTACATTTACATATATAAAGTTGCAAAAAGATCCTATGAGCCACAAGATCCCCCTAAGAGACTCCAAAATGCAGTCCTCAGTTAGGTTTCATTTGTAGCATACAACCATTCCAAGAAAAAAAAGCAGCACAGACAGAATAATCAAAATATAATAGGATCAAGCAAAAAATCCCAACAAGGTTTTCTGAAAGTCTGCTACACTGAAAAAAGATGTATATTCTAAAGAAAACCAAAAGAAGTATATTTTGTCTGCTAAAGAGAAAGAGAGAAATAGAGAGAGAAAGAGAGAGAAAACAAACACAAACCCAGCCACTGTTCTTTACTCAGTGGAACCAGGGACACGAAAGCTCCAATGGAAACTCTCGCTGTCATACGATCTAAAGATATTAAGCAAGACGAGTGAATGATTTCCATGTTATGATCACTAGACCTCACTGTAAAATTCTCCCATTCACATTAGATGTCTCTGACGATTTTGTTGTGAGAAATTTGTGAGAAAAAAGTAAGTCAACATGAACACTTTCAGAGTTACCAATGTAAAGTTACCTTAAGTTAAATGGTCTTAGAAGAGTACCATTAAGGTAAGCAAGGTAAATATTTAAATAAATATAAAACTTCTAAGATAGAAAACCAGTATAGAATCAGGGATTACTTTTATTAAAAGCAACTACCTTGTTGCTGCTTTTCCCCATTTATTAAACAAACTGAATAGAATTCAGAACACACTATTGAACAAAATGTAAAAAAAAAGTCAACTAGAAGCAATAATCCTATTTGTACACAGCATAAATCAATATACAGTATTGTATGTGAACAAGACTGATTGGCTTTTAAATGAATTTTCTGTCTCAAGGCCAGTTTCTCTACAAATATCTGTAAGAGGATTGTTAGGGCAGGCCAACTTCTTTATGATGTCGCATTATGTGCTGGTTCTTTTCCGAGGGTCTTCGGAACCCCTTCTTGCAGTACTCACAGCGGTGAGGATAGTCTTTTGTGTGAATCGAAATAACGTGCCGCTTAAAGCCTGAGGCATCTGTAGTGCTATATTCACAGTACTCACACTGATACACCTTCCGGCCACTGTGTGTCTTCATATGCTTTTTAAGCTCACTCTGTTGTCGAAATCCCTTCCTACATCTCTTACACCTAAACGGAAGGTCCTTTGTGTGAACCGAGAGGATATGGCGACTTAGGACAAAGGGATCTGCGATCTTAAAGTCACAATGTCTACACTGGTGCATTTTTTTACCCTTGTGGGCAGCCACATGTTTCTTGAGTTCTGATGGCCTATGAAAGCCTTTATCGCACATGTCACACTTATGAGGATAGTCCTTCGTGTGAACTGAAATTATGTGTCGCTTCAAATCACTTGAGTTCGAGCTCTTGTGGTCGCAATGTAAACACTGGTGTGTTTTGCTTTCCTGATGGATAAGAGCATGTTGCTGCACCTCTTTGGTATCTGAGAAAGTCAGAAGACAAATGTCACACTTGAATGGCATTTCTTTACTATGCTTAGTCTTTACATGTGTTTTCAAGTTAGACGAGTCAGCAGACCTGTATTCGCAGTACTGGCATTCATACGGCTTCTCCCCGGTATGGATTCGCATGTGCTTTTTGAGCTCTGATGGATGACGGAAACCTTTACCACACTCTACACAAATGTGAGGGAAGTTCTTGCTGTGGACTGCCAAAAGGTGGCGATTCAATAACCCTTGTTCAGCTGTTTCATATTCACAGAATTTACACTTGTGCATTTTGTTGGCTCCTTTTTCCTTATGCACCATTTTGTGAGTAAACAAAGCCCCAGCATGAGAGAAATGCTTCCCACACTCATCGCATTCAATGGCTTTCTCTGCCTTGCTGGTCAGCTTGTGGCTCTCTAGGTGATTGTGTAAACTTATCTTCTTGTTGGTAGTGTAATCACAGTCAGTACAGCGGTACTTCTTCTTGGCAAGGTGCTCAGGGTGGTTTTTCATGTGTCTTTTCAAGAAACCTCTTGATTTAAACTTCTTCCCACAAATCATGCAAGGGTAGACAGTCAGGGGATGTCCATCAGGGCCAATAATTATTGCTAAGAAAGGAAAAAGAGAAGAGCTTAAGAGTTCAAAACATGCTGCTTTGGTTTCTTCAAAAGTTCACATGTTCTGAACATGACTGATCAGGGTCCTAATTTAGGCTCTATGCTCTACAACATTCATTTCATCATTCTCAATGTAAGAGATACTGCAACCTGGTCATAAGGACATGGTCCATACCAACCTCTTCCATTTGAACAAAATTAATAAATGAATACATAACTTCTATCAAAAAGTGACTGAAGACACATCGATTTAGAAATCTGTGAGGAAATACTAGTAAAAATAAAGTTTTATAATTGAAATTCTAGCTTTACTCAAAATGCCCATTCATTAGTATTAGTTTACAGTAAGGCTTAAATATGCTCATACAATTTTTCATATGGAAATTAGTGTATGATAGGGTGTGCCATACAAACTGAAGCACTTATTTGTGAATTATGCCTATTTTATGCTGATATAATCAGATTCTTTAAATATATTAATTTTTTTCAAATTAATGCTTGCAACATGGTTGAGGGATTCCTTTTCCACTTTCACATAACTATTCAAGCTTTAATTTTTTTTCAATATTGTCTGATCCATTTCCTATTTGTTTTTATCCAAGAAAATCATTCATGAATATCACTGAATTCTGAAAATTATATTTTCAAATTCAATACACACAAAAGCTACATGTGTTCTAGCCACTAAAACGTCATCACAATACCCCTGTGGATACACACTAGCGCTTCCTGAGAGCTTGCAGAGCACGCTGCGCCATGGAACTCGCGCGCCCTCACCTGTTTGGTACTGCCTGGAATCAGGTCTTCTCCTTTTCTTTGGTTTTTGTTTAGCCAGTCTGCCGAGGCCAGCAGACTCATCTATGTGCAAGAGGGCACTTGCAGTGCCATTCCGGTTTTCAATTCCATCAGAATTATTACCTAACAATATAATATGCATTAAAAAACAAAATTATACAGTATTATAAATGATAAAGAATTAGGAATTCTTTATTAACTACAACAAATGAAAAGCCATGATACTCATGAATGACAGAAGTACCCCATTCTAGGTAATAGGGTTCTATGAGCACATTCATTATAGTAAGACCATTGGAAAGGCCTTAGCTTCCAAAGCTGGAAACACGTCAGCATTTTCCCCATGGGTTCCCTTGTTGTTTCCCAAAACTGCAAAGTCCCGGGCCAGACAGAATTAAAATGAGAAGTTTCAGCCTGAAAGCCCATATAGTTCCTGGAGCACTTCCGTCTACAGAATATGCACATGAAGGAAATTCCCATTAAAAGGACAAAAGGTATACTTCATAACCTGCCTCTACTCTTGTTTAAATAAAATAATCCTTATAGGGTACTATTATTTCAGATTTCTGAAACCCAAGACCACAGAAGAAACTGTTTTTCAATTGTGAATTCCTGTCCAAAGAGCTGCTCTGTGACTCACCGTAGGCGGCTGCCCATGCAATCGGCATGAACGTCTTCATCTCATTGTCATCCATTTGCTGTTCATGCACAGCGGCAGCGGCTGCAGCTGCAGCATCCTCCTCCCCTACGATCACTTCCATATAAACTTCATCAGCGATTTCGGCAACATCTAAGTAGAAAATTATATCAACTTTTCAGACTAGGTTTACAGACATCACAGGAAAGATACTTTTATTTGAACTCAGTTCAACAAATGGAAAAAAGTCCAACCACAGCATACCTAAAACAGAGCTTTCATATAGTAAGCACTCAATAGATATTTGCTGAACAAGTCATTCATTTCTTGGTCTTCATCATCATTTAGTTTTAGACAACAAATATTCTAAGCATGAGTCACTAATGTCACCCTCATAATAATCTCTAAAATGTTACTTCTTCATTCAAATACTGACTACTTATTTTTTTAAAAAAGGAAAGAGAAAACATTATAGAAACATCCATTTTTCTCCCACAAAAAGGCCACCTACTTAAATGTTCATCTTCTTGCTGAGAGTCATTGACAGTCATATAAACCATCTTTTCCCTGGGAACACGAATACTGTTGTTCTGATCCAGCAGTTCAACTCCATGGTCATTCTCAGGCTCACTCTCCACAATGTCTACAGTTCCACCTATCAGGGACAACAACAGTCTCAGAATTTATTTTAAAATTTCATTTCCACTTCTTCTTTTTACAGAGTTTTCTGATATTACATTAAAAGTTACCTTCAGAAAAGACTTCAAATTTTTCAATCTAAACAACCCCAAAACATCAGGCTGACACATTAGATCAAGATGCCTAACATGCTAAGGATTCCTCTCACCTAAGTCATCTTCTCCAGGGTCAGCTTTAAAGATGTACACCTTGATGACTTCAGGACAAGTGCCATCCACTTTACAAGGATCAATTTCTGACTCTGCATCCATGGTCATTCCAGATGAACCGTCATGTTCTATTTTGCCAGCATCATCCACTAAATAAGTGGGAAAATACATCACAAATAATAACAGAAAACAAATAGGTTACTGTTTTAAAAGTCCTTTTGATAAACATTCTCTTTAACCTGATTCACATAAAATTGCATGATTTTACCTAGAGAAGTAGAAGATCCAATAAATACATTTTTTCCCTTGTCTTTTTTGAAACAGGGTCTCCTTTTAGCCCCAGCCAGCCTGGAACTTGCTATGTAGACCAGGCTGGCCTCAATCTCACAGAGATCTGCCTGCCTCTGCCTCCCAAGTGCTGGGATTAAAGGCATGTGCAACCATGCCCAGCTCCAGTAAGTACATTTCTAAAGACATCTAAAATTAAGATCAGGTATTAAAGCAAAAAAAATACTGCATACAGAGAAACACCTGATAGCCTAGAAAGTATTAAAAGAATATATTTAGCCTCTGCTAAACCACAGGGGAAAAGCCCTCATACATTAAAGATAATCTTTTAATATTTAAGGTGAAGCCCTCTAAATAATGTCCTAATAGTAAAATGCAAAAACAGTCTTCAGGGGCCGGGGAGATTGCTCGGCGGTTAAGAGCACTGGCTGCTCTTGCAGAGGACCCAGGTTTGATTCCCAGCACCCACATGGCAGCTAACAAATGTCTGTAACTCCAGTTTTGTTAGGAAACCCTGCTATTAGGGTTGTAGTTCTCCATGTCCAGATAGTCCTAAGGGGCTTGGTGCCAAATGGAAGGACTCCCCTTTTCAGCAGGGGGCCTCCTGCTCTCTTCCTGGCTTACCTGGAAAGTGCCACCAAGCACGGATGCCTGACCTTATTTGGAACATGACCTTTGGCATAGTTACCTGGAGTAAAAACTACCCCCAGGTTTTTTCTATATGATAATCAGGCATTGCCTGATAGTCGGACAATAGGAGCCCACTGCCACATGTAAATAAAGCATACTATGAGCACCTATCAGCTGAGGCTTTGGCTACTGCCTCCACACTGTAATTTCTCTAGTTCTCCCACTGAATAAATGGAGCTGTTTCACTGAGTCTGGAGCTGTATCACTGCATCTAGAGCTGTTTCTGTTTCACTGCGCCATGGAACCAGCCTCTCCGGAAGGGCTTTCTTCCGTCAGTGCTCACTGGCTGTCCTGACTCCGTTTGCTGCTTCTGCTCCCCCTTGCCCTCGTGGACCGGTGGCCAACGACCCGCGAAGAGAGGGAGAGACCCCCGCACAGTTTCAAGGGAGTCCAACACCCCTTCTGACCTCTATGGGCATTGCAAGATACAGGTGCACTTACAAACATGCAGGCAATACACTCATACACATAAAAAATAAAAGTAAATAAATATGTAAAAAATAGTCTTTATATAAATATTTATATGAACTACTTCATGGTTACCATTCTTGAATATAATTTGTTCTGATCTATTTTCATCAGAATAATACACTTAAAAATTAAGAAAGCATGATTGCCAGAAAGGTATACCTCAATGAGATAGCAATGGAAATTCTAATTCAACTGCTTACAAAAGTTACAACACATACACACATATAATCTTATATACACGCAACACATACTTTAAGACAGTAAGTCAAGGTCCTTGATGGCAAATGCCACAATATGTAAATTCGAACAAATTGCGATATGCTCACTGTCCTCCTTAATGCTTGTGTTACATTAAAGGAGAAACATGAGGGGAAGGGAAAAGAGAAGGAAAGAAAAGAAAAAGGGCAGAAGTAGAAAATTAGCATATTTAGCAAACATTATATTTTTTATAGTTTAATAAAAGTTGCCAAAGAAATAGGTGTTATGTATATAAGATTTAGAAAATAAAAGAAAAACCTTGTCAAAACACACTCTGGATTTGAAAAAAAGACCAAAAATGTAACTGCCATTTAATGAAATCTTACACTATACTATACATCACTTATGGGCCTCTCCAGCAACACAAAGTATGGCAAAGGTTAATGAAAACTCAGCACCTAGGACAAGTTGTCAAAAAAGTTAGATTCATCAATGTTAAATCTACTAAAGAAACATGGAAGGAATGTTTCCTCTGCTCTAAGCCCAGGTGGCCTACGTGGCCCCGCCACCAAGCAGCACCGAGCAAGACCAAGGCCTACAAGGGAAGCCTCAATGCCCAACAAACTTTCATTTCCCCTTTTTCCTTTCAGTTCTCTTCTTGGATGTTCTCCTGCTGGATAAATTTGTTTTCCTTCTGGCTAAAGCTTTATGTTTTCTTCAATTTGGCAAACGGTAAATTGCAACTTCATATTACTAGACTTTGGGTTAGGCATTGGGAGATAACAATATGAAATGGATTCCAAAAGCTTACAGTCCAATGGGAAAGCAGTCAAGTGGACATAATTATTCCTAATGTAGTAACAATACAGCTATCATTTATTAAGTGACTAAGTACTACTTCATATTTACAACCCTGTGAAGAACGCAGTACTGTATTATTGACATTTTACATTAGAGCAAATAGAAGTCTCAAGAGGTTAACTATTTGGAGGGAGGCACACATAGATTCAAACTGCAAAAGTCCCAATCTGAGTTTGCTAACTTCTGGTCTCTAGAGAATGAGATGCATATTGACAAAGACACCTGCGTTATCTGAAAAATCAGTTAAGTGGTATAACTACCTAAAGATGTGTTTTTCAATGGAAATGAGATGCATGTATTCATAACTCTGAAGGCAGAGTTAGCATTGTAATAGAGGCTAAGTGGTGGTGGTTTTGACCACTGTGACATTTTAAATTCAGAGTCATCTCTTATACAGCTTACAAAAGCATTATTAAACCAAGATAGAACTCAGATTGTAACACCTTCAAAAATGACACTTCTGCAAAGTCCTGCCATGCTCTCCATTAGGTCTAAAAACACATTTATCTAAGCAAAATCCCTATCTAGAACAGAAAGATGATCCAGTATTCAAAACCAACATCAAAAAGCAAAACTATAGTCAACAAGATGGCTCAGCAGGTAAAGATGCTTGCCATCAAGCCTGATAATCTGAGTTCAATCTACAGAACCACCATGGAAAAGGAAAGACAAGACTCCATAGCAAGTTGTCCTCTGACCTCCACACGTGCTGTGGCACACATGCTCCCAAATGAGAGAGAGAGAGAGAGAGAGAGAGAGAGAGAAAGGAGAGTGAGAACAATTTTTTTAAAGCTAAGAATTTGTCAACTTGGCTTCTGACTTACTGAGAACTGGCAAACAGCATCTGAAAACTTTTCTGTCATTTACAAAAATAATAATTATAAATTTTAAACATTCAAATGTAAGGTCGGGCGTGGTGGCGCATGCCTTTAATCCCAGTACTCTGGAGGCAGAGGCAGGCGGATCTCTGTGAGTTCAAGGCCAGCCTGGTCTACATAGTGAGTTCCAGGACAGCTGGGGCTACAGGGAGACCCTGTCTCAAAAAGACCAAAAAAAAAAAAAAGAAAACATTCAAATGTAAAGTACCATGAATTCCTACTGAAAGCGGGTGTTTTGGTATTTGTTTGGCTAGTGCTGGGGAACTGAACCCAGGGCTTTGTGCATGCTAGGCACATGGTCTACTACTGAACTATACATTCTCGACCCATTCTGGTCAACTTCTGATCTGAGGACTTCATTAAATAGCGAATTATATTTTACTAAACACTCAAGTATCAATCAAACATGTCACTTAAAAATGTACTTGTTCGGGGCTGGAGAGATGGCTCAGCAGTTAAGAACACTGGTTGTTCTCGCAGAAGACCCAGGTTCGAATCCCAGCACCCACATGGCAGCTAACAACTGTCCGTAACTCCAGTCCCAGGGGATCCGACAGCCTCTTCTGACCTTGGGCATTGCACAACATGGGTGCACTCACCTACATGCAGGCAATACACGCATACACATAAAATAAAAATAGAAAAAATTTTTAAAAAGACAAATATGAGTCAATAAATAACATTTTACAGGCATATGCCTGCAATCCCAGCACTCAAGAGGAAGAGGCAAGAGGATTTCTTTAAGCTCAAAGCCAGCCTGGGCTGTGAGACCCTGTCTCAAAAACAACTAAAACATACATGTATATGTATACATATTTATTTGCTAGCCAATTATTTTACTTTTCCTCACACAATTTAAAGTAACTGAAAATGAAATCCTCTTATAGAGAAAGAGAAAATGCTTGTTTATTCACATTACAAAATATTAAAGCTGAACTCTCTAATATAATCTTTAATAAATTGATACAAAACATGAAAGAAAATTAGAATCAGAAATGACTGGTCAATGTCTACTGTACACTATCAATGTACACTAATACCTGCTGTAGAAACAAAGAAAGTATTCTCAGGCTGAGAGAAAGAGAAAGGCACCTCATTCAGGTAAAGGACAAAACGGGTACAGAGACAAGAAATGGCATGAAAGGACTGTGGGTAAAGCATGTCATACGGCACAGTGGGAAATGTGGCCAATTGCTAAGCTGAAGTCAGGTCACAGAGGGTCTCCTGCATCTGGAAAAGAGGCTCTGACCTGATCCTAGAAAGCTTGGGGTTTTGATCAGAGGTTTGGGAGTATCTGCTGCAGGTGATGGGAGTTGTATACCATCCTACTGGTTTTGAAAAAGTGAATACATCCAAAAGAGTACAGGTATTTGCCACCAAACCTGATGACCTGAATTTAATCCCTGGGCCTCACATGGTTCAAGGACAGAACTGACCCCAAAAGTTGTCCTTATATACTGTGGTACATGCACATATGTGGGCATACTCACACAGGTGACTATAATAAACATGCTCCAACACACCCAGGAGTGAATGGCTAATTCCTTTAAGATCACAAGGTTTTAGGGGCTGGAGAGATGGCTCAGCAGTTAAGATCACTGGCTGCTCTTGCAAAGGACCTAGGTTTAGTTCCCAGTATCCACGTGGCAGCTAACAACCTTCTGTAACTCCAGTTCCAGCGGGCCTCATGCCCTCTTCTGACCTCCATGAGCACTGCATGCACAGGTGCACTTACATAAGGTAAAACATGTTGCGCGTGGTAG